AGAGCTAGTTTTCCTTTTCTCTTCCAATCAAAGTACTTATAAAATTCACCAAATATGTCACTGAAATTTATCAATCGCTGCACTAATATTTCACAAAGCACTTAAGCCTTTCAAGACTTCCATTTCCACCATAACATGTTTTTTGAATTAAAAGATGGTGGGGCACAAAAAAACCCCCAAAAACCAGACATGTCATTCATGATAACGTAAAAAAAAAAAGAAAACCAAACCAATATTAAGAAAGCTATATAACTTCTTTGCATCCTTAGGGAAGCATAGAAGTTTCATTTAAAGTTGTGAAATGAGATATCTATTTTTAAATAAAGAATTGGGTAAAATACACTGCACTGACTTACCTCTTCACCCTAAAACAAGAGTCATATTGCTAAATTGGCAAAGACTAAGATAATTTTAAGGAAGAGAGTTCAGTTTCCTGGCCTTCTTAGTTAAAATAGGCAAAATGAGTTTCAACTAAATACAAACTCTTGGGTGTCTATATCCGAAAGACTGGTAAGACCTCATTTTTTAAACTTGACTGTCTTCTACCAAACACAAGGTATTATTGAAATAAGTAAGTTTCCAATCAAGGTCACCAGTAAGTGGATAAGTCAAGAAGCATTTATTAAGTGCTTGCTACGAGCCAGGCACAGTACTAAGCCTTAGGGCCACCAAAATAAAACAAAACAAAGCCAACAAAAAAACAGCCCTAGAGATGAATAAATTAACATTCTAATTGAGAGAGAGAGAGAAGGAGAGGTATATGCAAGATGCAAATAGATAGAAAGTATTATTAGAGGAAAAGAGATATGAAACTGGGTAGAAATGTGATATTCCTTTGGAACTGATTCATTTTGATTCAGGTCAGTGTGACAGGCAGAATATAGTCAGAATGAAAAAATTCTCATCCTACTATTGGTCAGATTGATGACTCTACATTTCTTTCATATTATTTTCCAGAAAAATAATCCAAAATACAAACTTTTCTCACTGTCCAGTTGGATATAACCTTAGAATCAATTCCAGCTGCTGAAAAGGAAAAAAAAATGTTCACCACTCCTTTCCAAGAAGGGAACACACATAACAATAGTAATATCTATTCCTAATTCCCTACAAAGAAGCAGGAATGTACAGGGGTGGGGGAACCTGTGGCCTCGAGGCCATGTGTGGCCTTCTAGGTCCTCAAGTGCGGCCCCTTGACTGAATCCAAACTTCACAGAACAAATTCTCAAGTTCTGTGAGGTTTGGATTCAGTCAAAAAGGCCACACTTGAGGACCTAGAAGGCCACATGTGGCCTCGAGGCCATAGGTTCTCCATCTCGGTATACTAATTCAAGAGTTTTATTATTTGGAAAAACGTTACTGAAGAACAACATATTTATGACTCACATCCCTTGAAAGTTATGGTTTTAAGAAAAGCGTAATGGCTCTAGAATGACTTTTTTTAATCAAACATTATCTTTTACTCTAATTTAAAGGCTCCCAACATTTTCTCCTTACAATTCTAATTTGGACACTGAGACTTTGTAACATTAACCCTAAAGTGGAGGGAGTTATCTATTTAAAAAGAAAGAAATATAGCTATAATTTTTAAGAACTTAAAAAGAAGAATTAACCAAATAAACTGCACAAAATTACACTCCCCGGGAGTCCAGGCATGAAATAGGGATTGTGGGAGTAGCCGCAGGCTCTGATGGCTTGGGACAACTCCAAAGTATTATTATTAGCAATGGGAAGGAAGCATCAGGATCATCATGGATGAAGAAAAGGATAACCGTAGGGATGGTCTCTCATCCCCCAGTTATCTCTCTCTTCACTTTTAGGGTTGAGTAGACGTAGGATCAGCAGGGAAATATAGCAAGAATATTTAAAGCGAAAGGGAATAACATTAAAGAAGCCATCGAGGTAAGAACAGGGGGAAGGTGGTGTTCATTCTTCCTTCTCGAAGACCAATGACTGCATGAAGGTGATGTCGTGACTTGCGTGTGGATTGGACATAAGTGAAGGAGAGCTGTGTAAAGTTGTCAGCCTCACTCCTCCAGAGTGGAGGAGGGTAAAGTTAGAGGAGACTAGCCTGCATGGACTAGATTATGAGAGGTGATAAAAGCCAGGAAGAGATTTAACTTGATACACTTAGCAATGAGAAAGTGTTGTCTTATAATATGGCATTGTACTAGAAGAATTACTACATTGTACTTATTCACTGAGTCAGTGATATCTAGGTATATAACCTTAAGCAGGTCAAAGACAGAGGAGAAAAATCCATATGCACAAGAATATTTATAATCACCATTCTTTGTCATAGCAGAAGAACTGGAAACAAAGTGGGCGCCCATCAACTGGGGAAAGAACGAACAAATTAAGGTATATGAATGCAATGGATTATTATTCGACCAGAAGAAATGATGAATATGAAGAATTCAAGAACACTTAAAAAACTTGTAAGAATTAAAGGAGAAAATTTATCAGTCTTTAATTATAAATCCTGAAACAATTTCCAGCTCCCCTCGCTTCTGATCAAGGACTTCTCCCAGAAATAATTAATAATTAAGATGGTGATAGAAAAGACAAGCCCATGCCATTTCCTCAAGCCTTGATCAGATTAGGATAATGACCCTACTATGAAAAAGAAGAAGTCTGATTACTTTAATTAATAGAAAAGTCTCAAGTTTACCTCTGAACACGAAGAAGAGAGAATCGTTAAAGGGAATGGTCAGTGAGGGGATGAATGCTTTTACAAAAATTATTCTCCAAGAAAGTACCAAAAGTTAATTGACTGTTGTTTGATGAATCAAAATGTTAACTGAACTTTATCTAGAGTTCTATTTTATCTCATTCTGCAATTTTATTTATTATTTAAGAATGTCATAAATTGTAACCAAAACTGGTTTATCAGAGAGATTTTCAAAGCCATAGGGTAATTCTGCCTATCTTTGGCCATTCCTTTCTCTTTATACAGAAATGTTTGGATTAGATTAATATTAAATTATAAGAATTGTTTCCAGCTGTCTCAAGCCTAAAACAGAGTAAATTTCTGTCTGACCCCGTGATACCACTACTGGGCATGTATACCCCAAAGGAGGCCAAAAACAAAGGGGAAATTCCACTCTGAGTGGGTAGATACTGGAATCAAGAAGACCGCCTGCTATCACCCAGGTACCAGTGTGAACAAAGAGGGCCTAGACTGAAGTTGAGAGGAATGAGAGGAATGCTCATATCTAAAATATACATTGAAGGAGAAAAAAAGAACTTAGAACTTATCAGTTTCTACAGTTTCAATTATTATCTCTATACAAATGCCTCCCAGATCTATTTTGCTGACCCCAATTGTTCTGAGCTTTAATCCTATATCACCAAGATTTCCTGTAGGCATCTCAAATTTAACATATCAAAAAGAGAATTTATTGTTTTATCACCAAACCTACTGCTTTGCCTAACTTCCTTATTCTGTGAAAGCACCAATCCAAGTTTATAACCTCAAAGCCATCCTAACTCTTTCCTTTCCCTCTCCCCTATATAATTTTATCAGCTGCCAACCCTTGCTGATTTACTGTCTTGCATCCATCCATCCATCTCCTTCTCTCTAGTGCAAGATCTTATTATCTTTGACTGCAAGAGTCTTCTTGATGGTCTCCCTGAACCCAGTCTCTGTCTCTCTGATCCCTCCTCCACACAGCTGAAAAAATGACATTTCTAAAGCACAAGTCTGACCAAGTCACTCCCCCATTCAAAAAGCTCCAAAGACTTTTTATTACTTCTAGTATCAAATACAATTTCTTCTCTTTGGCATTTAAAGCCCTTCACAGTTTGGCTCAGACCTACCTATCCAGACTTATTAAGCGTTATTTCCCTTCATGCACTCTACACTTAAGCCAAAGTAACTTATTTGCTGTTCCTTACAAACAACATTCCACATTTGGTCTACCATCTCTGAATTTGGACAAGTTATAGTCTTTGCCAGGTATGCTTTCCTCTTCCTCACTTCTACCCTTCAGAACCCCTACTGCTTCATTTTTTGTATTTTTATTCTAGCACAAGTGCTTGGAATATGTCAGGAGCTTAATAATAACAATAAGTATAATATGTTATATATAATATCCTAGCCCAGGTGCTTGGAATATATCAGGAGAATATAATAATAATAACAATAGGCAGTTGATAAATTGATTGATAAGAAGATAATTCTTCAACTTTCTTGGTTAATACTATTATCAACAAATTCCCTTGAATTTCTTTATTCTCAAATTCCCTTAAATGAGTATAACATTGGTACCAACTTAACATTGCTTGAAAAAGGGGTTGTGATTAATTTTGATTACATTAAATAGCTGTGGACACTAAAAGCTTCTACATTTTCAATCTTTTAAATATCAAAGGCAAGGAACATGGAGACAAGGTTAAATATTTCCCTCAAGTCTGAAAACAAGAGTTTGCTTAATTTTTAGTGTTTCAGTAGCCCAAAAGATTCTTTATTAGCATCAGTCCCAAATTACTTAAGCTGGAAATTCATCCAAAAAAGGCAACATCTGGTTTTCATCTGTTCTCATGGGAACCAGAGAAGTGTTTTGACTGGAAAATAAGATATTGAGTAGTAAAACAAGGGGCATGATGTGAAAGCAAACAGACAGGTATGAAGACATGATACACAGCCAAGGAAAAGAGCTTAAACCCAACACAAACTTTCAATTTTAGAATGTGAGAAACAATCCATGATCATCTATTATTTAAACAAATCCCCCAATGACACCTCAAAATGTGCAAAGACAGTTAAGCCTTGCCCTTTAGGCCCCAAAATTTCCCCTGGGGGATAAAAAATCCTATTAACAAAAATCATCATTTTAACTTAGGATTTTCAACAATCTACACTGTCAGTTCTTTTTAGAGCTACAGACACCAAACATAAAAAGACTTGCAAACACAGATTGCTGTTTTTTTTTCTCTTTAGAATGAAATAGTAAGTGGGGTTTTTTTTCCTTCTTCTTTAGAATGAAACAGTAACTTACCTTTGCAGAGTCATGTTCAAAGAGCCTGTACAAGCCTTAATCTTGTTCTGGGCTTCAAGATGCGTCATTCCCTGAGCACTTATCCCATCGATGCTGAGAACCACATCTCCTATTTTCACATGGGCTTGAGATGCTTTACCACCATCCTTTAGCTGGAATAAACGCATTGCAACATATTAGGTAGGAGTATCATCGTTCACAAATAAAGAATAGCCTAAAGACGTAAGAAATTATGTTTACATGATTTAATGGAAAGTAGGGTAAATTGCTATCCTCTAACACCCCAGGAGGGAACAAAAGCATCAGTAACAATAAATGAGCCTCAGACAATCAATTATACCTTAACCCATAAGTATGTGAGTCATATCACGTTTAATAACCATAAAGACTTTTCAGAGAAAAGATGCCTTAGTCTGCTACATAATAAAAGATAGTGAAATGACTAACAATAGAAATGTATATGGAAAGTTCAGATTTTGCAGAAGAAAAAAGAATCATAAGGGAGATATTTTTTCATGCTCTTACATAAAATAATGAAAAATACCTCTTTAAACCACTGGTTCCTAGTCTGGGCTCTGTAAGCTTGTTCTTTTTTTATTGTTATTATTTCAAAAACTATTTCCATATAATTGGTTTCCTTTATAATCCTATATATTATATTTTATACACTTAAAAACACTTTTGAAAAGGGCTTCCAGACAGCCAAAGTGACCCATAACAAAAAGGCTAAGAACTCCTGTTTCAAATACTTGTCTATTTATCGGAATTCAAAGAATAACATTTTGAAAGAGTGCTAGCACAATTTATGTTGATAATCACAATTCTGCTTCACCATGTTAAAAGGAGTTTTTTCCCATTGCTTGGGAAACTTGACTTTTATTTTTGATGTTGAGTACATCCTGTTCCAGGATCTCTCAGCAGGATGGGAAGGAAACTGTTTGTGACGACTGCCAGATATTACTGGGCATCACAGGTCCTAAATTCTCAAACCCCTCTTCCCTTGCCCAATATAATTTCCCTTATGTTCATACTGTTTAGTTTGATCTGCTTCCATTTTACTATTTCCTTATGCCAAAAGAAGTGAGCAAAAGTAATATCAAAATGAGAATGAAAAACAATGTAACTTTCACGAAGAAATATGGAGACATGAAAGACATGTGAGGCAAGAGAAAACCTTCTGATAAAAAAAAGAGACAGTTTCAACATTTAATACACATTAACAAGTCCCAATAAAAAATTAATTGGTTTAGGAAGAAGTAATGAAGAAATAACACACTAATAATATCCACCATTGTATCAATATTCTAAAATTAATGATTATAATATTTTACAAAAAGTATGATTATTTAATGATTTTTGGTTCAAAGAAAAAAGAAAATTTAAAAGAGAACAACTCATCCAGAAATTATATCCAGAAAAGCTATTCACAAAGAGGAAAGAAATATGGAGTTTGAATGCAGATTGAAGCATACTATTTGCTATTTTTTTCCTTCTGTTGTGTTTTGTTTCCTCTTTCTGGTGATTCCTCTCCTTGGTTCTAATTCTTACGTACAACATCACTAATATGAAAATATGTTTAAAAGGAGGAATGTATATGTGCTGCCTATATCAGATTGCGCACCGTCTTGGGGAAAGAAGTGGGGAGGAAGGGGGAGAAAAATTTAAAACTCAAAAGCTTTGGGAAGTGATTGCTGATAATTCAAAATAAATTAATTTTTTAAAAAAAGAAATGATATCCAGATTAAAACATCTTATTTGTGAATATGTTGTATTCTTTTAGCAGAATGCAAAGTCTGAGGGTAAGGAAGGCATTGTTTGTGTCTTTGTATCTAAACTCTTACACACAGTAGGATACATACTAAATGCTTGTGGATGGAGGGCTTCTTCTAGGCCTTTTTACATTTGGGAGATACCAACACATCCCTTTGAACTATCCAAATCCTTTGCTCTCACTGCATCCACGCCACCTCCTCTTCTCCTTTCCTGGTCATCCATTTATTGATTGATCTCCTTTACATGCCTTCTTCCACGTAGGTCATTATTATAAACGTAGTACGGTCTACTTATACTCAAAAATACTTCTCTCAACTGCCCCTGAAGTCACCCAGAATGATTCTCTGGAGGTTGTAGCGATCTGATATTTACAACTACAGCACATCAATGGGGTGTGTGTGTGTGTGTGTGTGTGTGTGTGTGTGTGTGTGTGTGTGCGTGTGTGTGTGTGTTTCTTGTTAAAGATGGTTTTTTTTCTAAGTCAGGGACCATTTGAGACCATTATGAGTACTAGGAAACTTCCCAAATTTAATCCAGTTCATGTTCTCATATTCAATATGGGATCAATTCCTTGTCTACTTCCAGTGCCTATCCCAGATGATTAGCACAGATTCTGGCATGGTGTGTGAAGGTCACACTAGGAACTTTTATTTTATTTTTTATTCTACGTGTCACAGAGAGTCACTGAAACTCCTTCAGCTGGAAAGCGACAGTCAGATTCATGCTTCAGGAACATCAATCTGGCAAATATGTGGAAATTAGACTAGAAAGAGGAAGATCTGGAAGCAAGGAGATCAATTATGGTGATTTTGCATTTAATAAATGCTTTTTCATTCATTCATTCATTCATTCATTCATTTCAAGTACTAAGTTAATGAACTGGCCTTCCAAATGCATAGCACTGACTAGATATCAGGCATTTTTCATCCACTTATCTTCCTAGTATGGATTGCTAGGCTGATCTATTTTTTATAATCACTCATAGAACTAGCTTTGTAATGTTCTGGAGCTTGATGCCAAGCCTTAGCAGAGAGATTAAGGAAGGAGAGGAATTCTCCAGAATAAACAAAATCTACAGTGAACTCCTAGGCAGCCATGCCCTACCTCAGCCAACAGTGTTAGTAACTCTTAACTCTTAGCCTCCATCACTCCAAATTAGCCCTCAGTGAAGGATGAAAGCTACACTGAGGCAGCGAGGTGGCACAATGGAGAGGACTCTGGACTTGAAGTCAGGAAGACCTGAGTTCAAGTTCAGCCTCAGACACTGCCTGCTATACTAGTCTGGACAAGTCACTTAACCTCTGTCTGCCTCGGTTTTCCCAAGTGTAAAACGGTTGTGATAGCATCAGTGTACAAAGTGGAACCTTGTACTTTCTTCACTTTTCATTTTTGTGACCATAAAAATGCTATCTGCTATAGAATGTAATTTACAAAAGCCTGCCTGCCCCTTTTCTCACATTTTTGTTAAAGTTTTTTTTTGAAGTATTGGTAGATCATTCTCAGAGATTTTGTAAAGATGTGAAAGTAGGTTTATTGCTGTCCTCATGAGTACCTTTTTTTGGGTGGAGGGCAGGAAGTACACTGTCTGGGAATTTTTCCACTTCTTTTAAAATTGGAATTTAGAATTTAGATTTAATTTAAACTGTAATTTAGAATTACAATTCTAGAATTAGAATTCTTTTAGAATTATCTTCCCTTCCCTGAGATATTTTGTGATAACTTGATATCTTTTAAGATTGTCTCACCACAACTATAAATTTCTTCAGTGTGTACTTGGTTTGGCAAATCTAACTAGTTCACGTCTGTAGACGTACATGAGAAGATGAGTTGATTACTCTCTTCTACCCATTTTATTTTCTACTGTTTAGAAGACAGTTTTCAGTCAGTGATTCATACCATTTAGGAAGAGGAAGAGAACCCGTGCACAAGACTTACATACCAAAATGAGATTTATGGCAGGTTATTCTTTACAACATTCTAGGACCTCTGGGGATAATGAAAGTCTTCCTATCTACAGCTCAGAGTAGGGCTGCACTAGCTGTCTCAGCCACTGCTTGCAGTTTAAGACCAGTTCATGTGGACGCAGCCACAGAGATAGCTTCCCAGCTATACCTTTTTATATAGCAAAGGTCACAAGTCAAGGATGTTTCATCAGTTTCATTTCCCAGAATTCTAGGGCAGTGACTGATTAGAGAAGCAAGGTGTTAGTAGTTACCTCCTCTCCCAGATCTACCCTTGGTAATCTCTGACCATTGTTAAGTGGTTAAGGGAATGAAGAAGAGAGGAAAGAAAGGAGGAAATGGGTGGTGGAGGTGGTTAGCATCTGGTTTACGCTATGGTTGACCTCATGAACTTTCAGAACTTGTTCTCATACATACAGGAGTCTGTTCTTGGCTGAACCCTGTGAAACACTTATCTGTCTACTTCCCAGACCCAGGGAATCCATCACACAGGTAGCCATTAGCTCACAAGGGGCTCATAGCAAAACAAAGAACAAAGATGTCATCGATTCATGGACTGAATCTCTAACTTGACTCAATCCTCTTGAGTAGGTCTCTAGACTTTAGAGTATGGCTAGAGATGGCCAAAGTATTCCACTTGTTTCCCAGTACCTGATTTGCACAAGACAGACATGGGTACTTTGAAGGTAATAAACGAGAACCCCAATTCTATTCAGCAAATGTATATTGCTAAGGTATGGTGCACACACTGTAAATGTGGATCTTGGATTGTCACTATGAAAAGGAGATAAGTCATCTTACCCATGAAACTGCTTTGGAGCAGGAGGGTAGTGCTAAGCAAGCTCAAGAGAGTTGGTCTCAAGGGAAATTTCCAGCTAGACATGGGAAGAGACCTCAGCTTATAACAGATGCTGCTTCAAAGCAAGAGCATGGCTGAACTTCTATTTGCTGTACTCCTGCCAGCAAGCTTCATTTGTGAATATTCTTAGGATAATACGAATTAGTTGAGTCTCAAGCCAAATGTCCACAGACTTGTTTTTGTCTCCACTGCTTTCTGCTCTTTTATAATTCTATTGTATATCATATATACTTTTTACATATATATTTTATAATTCCATTATGTAATTATAATATAATTTATAAAGTGATACTTTCATATCTTCAGAAATTCCACTCTGTAGCATTTTACAAATGAACTTGTATTCCATAATGGAGCTGCCTTTGGCTGTTCATTCTCTCCTCTTGGCAAGGAGATAAAATGTTGACTGGCTAAAACAGTATTCTGGATTCTTCTGGTCTCCCTTTTGTCACAACTGTTGTATGTTGGTAAAACTTCAGTAGGAAATAGTGAAAATTAAATTCAATATCTATTTCTTTTTTCCAGTTTCTGATTTTCTGAACATCAATGGCTTATGTGA